AAAGAAAGAAAGAAAGAAAGAAAGAAAGAAAGAAAGAAAGGAAGGAAGGTAGGTAGGTAGGTAGGTAGGTAGGTAGATAGATAGATAGATAGATAGATAGATAGATAGATAGATAGATAGATATCCAGATCTGCATGCTTGCTTCTTTTTCACTTAGGTGAAGTAAACATTCTTAAATAATCTGAAGCAAACCACAGTATTCTACAGATCAACAGCAACCTCTGGGAAGTGCAAAATTTTGCTCCTGTTGATATTCATCATATAATACTGTAGCTCTGATTGGTTAGAATATAATTTGCATAAGGCTTCTGTGAGATTTTGTGTTGGTGCATACATTGTGGTTTTTGACTGTAAATCAAAATAGGGATGTTTCCTTAAATATCAGTTGCAGAAATTTTCCCACTTCTTGATTTCCTGGAAATATAGTAATGAAGCAGAAAAGTATTTTTCTGTTAAATCTTCCCTTTGGAGAGGAGAATAATCTTAAATTCAGGGTCATTTCTCATGCTCAAAACACTCCCTAAGTAAGCTATATAAGATATATCAGTGTTATTATTCCTGGACGGCAGACACAAAGAGAATTTTTTCCTACTGTTACCTAGTTAGGGCAATGGCAAGCAACATCTATCTTGGCATAATCTTATTCAATATACAATTTAAATGTAATGTTAATGTGCTTCTGAGAGAAAAAAATATTTTTCTGGAAATCTTCATGATTACTTCTAGTTTAGCAGACTGGAAAATCCAAGATGCAAAAGGAATGGCCTAAAATAACTCAGCAGGATGCTGGTTTAGGTTCTGAGGATTCTTTCAAACGGAAGTCTCCTGGTGTCTCTGAAATTGTGATTTTTCTTTGCCCTAATTATAAACTGCTATTAGTTTTCATGCCATAATAAGATATAGATCCATATAACCTATCTGTGATACAATATAATTTCTCTGAATAACAAAAGAAAGGTAGTAACACACCATATTGTATTTGGAAATTTATTCCTTAAATATTCAATATAGCACAATACCTCTTGAATCATCTCCTTAATATCCCATATAATTCCTTTCCTGACTTTACTTCATTTTCCTTTGTAGGACTGACTTATTTAATTAAAATCTATAAGAATGGGGAATCATTTGGACAAAACAAGTACTGAATAATGAGGCTTGCTAGCAGAAATCGCCTTTGTGTAAAACTTTGTGTAAAGTTGTTCAGTGGAAAAGCTTTACTAAGTTTGCCATACTGCATAAGAAGCCCACAAAGACAATGACAGAACATTCATTCCACTCCGTCCCCTCACACACCATTCTCAGCAGCCTGAGCTAGAAATGTACTTCACACAAAAGCATAATAAACAATCTACGTAGCCCCTGGGAGCTATCAAAAGTAGCTTTCTGTGAGGAAATTGGAGACCCGATTCCAAAGTTGATCTATCCACACTGTTTCTAGGATACAACTTGGTTACTCTGCATTTGTGAATCAATTATTCCTGACGGTAATTGGGACTGTGAAGTCCATCGCTAAATGACATGAAGTGTGATGTCACGTGACCATGCTGACTTATGACAGCAGTCTCAATTGATCCCACGTGGCCACATGATTGCCGTTTGCGACCTCCTGCCGACTTCCCCATTGACTGCTTGTCAGAAGCCAGCAGTGAAGGTCACAAATGGTGGTCATGCGACCTTGGGGCGCTGAAGCCATCGTACTTGCAACCCAGTTGTCAAGTGCCTGAATCACGATCACGTGACTGCAGGGACACTGCGACAGCCACAACTACAAGGACCCATGGTAAGTACCCCTCGTTCAGCACCATCATAACTTCGAACGGTTGCTGAGTGAGTAGATGTTAAATGAGGACTGTATTTAAGAACTGCATAAGCCAGTGCCACACAAGACTTACTACTCAGCAACAGACTGCAGCTTCCTATTCAGAGTCCATGCCTTTGCATACATAAATGCCCTGGGATTGTAACAACAGTGATGGAGCACGATCCATTTTGGGGAGTGGGGAGGATCTTATGAAGGATGGAGCAAGGGAGCATCAAAATTGCTCTTTAAGCATTATTCCTATTGCAAGGATGTACAGTCCTAAAACTGTGGGGACTTTTGGTACCTGACTGCAATTAGGATAGAAGTAGGAGCAAGGGAGGCAGAAGTATATAGCAATTAATATAAAATCTGAAACTAAGTTTGTAGAATGAAAAACATATTTTCTTGCTGTGATTTGAGACAACTGAGTTCTATGATTTGGGTATGGATACAGCTATGGTTTAAATCAGCATTTAAAAGCTCCACGGAGTAAGGCAGAAATTTCCCAATGTCTATTTTTTATTACTGCCCAAAGCTTACCAGACCCCCGCTCCCACCGTGAGACCTTTACTTCATTTCAGATAAGAACCAAACACGCACTTTAAACGGCATTTTCCTGTTCATACACAGAAAGAAAGCAGCAAAGGGCTTTGCTTGATTTGCCCCCCCCCCGTTGCATTCTTGCCGTCTCTCTCAGTATTGGAAACTCATTTACCACCTCTTATCTTCAAGATGATTAGGCTAAATTAATTTTACAAATGCCTCTCTGTTAAGAGAATGTATTGTTTCTGTCAGGAAATGTGTTTGTATTGATTTGTGAGTAAAAGGAAATCAATGCTTCAAATAATGCAAAACAGGGAAAGCACTGATGAATGATTTACTTGCCTCCCCATTAAGGGAATAGTTTCAAAAGATTTCTTAGCCACATGAAGTAAATGCATTTGTTAAAAGCTCATCCATTGCAGTTGTTATCATAAATACTCCTTTCAAGGACTTTATGACACACTTACGGAGTCCAGATCTTTGGGAAAGCATCAATTTCCTCTTGTGTATATTCATTTAATTTCTTGGGCACTTTGCGTGGCTGTGGAAGCTCCTGTACCAGATTCTTACGAATGTCTTCAGGGATAACCTAGGGAGAGGAGAAACACAATGGTAATCATCAGTCTTCACTGACTTTTTCACAGAATCATGAAGTTGGGAGGGGCCACTTGGGCAACCAAGTCCAATTTCCTACTCAGCGCAGCAATCCAAATTAAAGCGTCTCAGACAAATGGCTGTCTTGCCTCCTCTAGAACATACCCAGTTCTCCAATTAATTGGATCCACTGTCAAACCACTCTTACAGTTATTAAGTTTTTTCCAACATTCAATTCTTGTCTTCCCGTAACTTCAATCCATTATTTCTTATCTTACACTTTGGAATTATAGAGAACACAAAATATTATATCCATGCTTGGTCTTCTCTTCTGAAAGCTTAACATTCTCAGTTCCTTCAATCTTTCTTCACTGGCTTTGCTTCTAGTCCCCTCATCTCACTGCCCCTCTCTTAACTGTTTCATTCTGACTCCTTAAAGGGCAGAGTCTAGTCTGTGCAGAATAAAGTGAAATTATACTTCTGCTAAATCCATCTAAATATGGATTTACCTTCTTGCAGCCACATCACACTACTGACTTGTTCAGTTTGCAATCAGCTACTACTCTTTTCACATTACCATTACCAAGACAAGTACCTGTCTTATACCTGTGGAATTTGATTGTTTTATTGCTACCAATCATTCAATAATAAGTAGCAACCTAAAACTATGGGAAAAATGCAGGAAAAGATTTGGTCCAGATTTATCATCTATTGCTTCAGTATTACATCTTTGTGAAGGAAAATGTACAAAAAAATTAATCAGTGGAGGAATAATTATTTACATATTGCAAGACTTAATTATTAATAAAACAAAGATGAAGTCTTTGAGATCCTCTCATCAGAACAGTCAGAATCACTGATTTCAAATAAGCAGTATAATCCTAAATTTTTAAAAAAAATAAGGTGGAACCCTTAGAGATGTTACTGAATTTGAAAAAATTATTACATAAAATCCAAACAACATATTGGGAATAATCTGCAAGTGGCCAATAGAGCACAATTCAGAAAGTGAACAAGTTAAGGACTGTATGATCAAATGGATACAGAGTTTGAACAGAAGAATGGATATGCAACAAGAAAAATAGCAAATTCAAAGCTAATATTACACATAGAGAAAATTGGTACAAGATGTTCTACTGATGGTAGATTACTCTAGTACTGATTGCCAAAATAAACAATTCTTTTCTCAAAAAATATCTGGAAATGGAACAACCAGGTTAGATCATTCTTTCACATTTGGTGGCAATATTAAGGCCCAACAATTCTGAAAAATGGTTTATAACACAATGAAACAGATATTAAAGGTAGATTTTTCTTTTCATTCTGTTATCTTACTAAACATTACTAAACCTTATTGTCCTACAAAATATATAAAATATATGTTTAACAGCTGCTAGGATACTTTAGGCTTCTAAATGGAAAGCATAAATAATTCCTTCTACAAAAGAATAGCAAATTAAGTTATGGGAGTATCAACTGATGTCATTTTTATTTAAAATTTCTATTTATTTAAAAAGAAATAAAAGAAAATATTTAAAAAAGAAAATCTAATATAGAATATAACACAAAGTAGAAACTATTTTTGGATTATAAACTTACAAACAGGTAAGATCCAAACTTTGGGTTTCTCCTGACATAAAATTATAACATTTAAGTCCCTTCCCCCTTCCCGCTTTTGTTCCTGATTTTCTAAAAGTGTTACCTTTTTCAGAGCAGACAGAACTTATTGTTTTTTCCTTGATGTATCATTTACACATGGAATTATAGTTGTTACCACTATCAGTTATTGCATAATAATTTGATTCTAATATTGATTTATTTTAATATGAAGTTCAGCTTTCAGATGGTTATATTTTAATGCACAGATTTCTATCAATGTGATTTTGATTTTTTTTGGTCAATTTTACAATGCTTGTGAACCTCTTCTTTATTTATAATTTGCTTTTTCTATTTTTTCTTGCTTCTTGCTCTACATTATTTTTAGATTTATATTCCACCTTTATTTTGTACAACTCAAGGCAGTTTACACAGCATTCCCTACTCCTAGTTTCACCGATACAACAACCCTGTGAGGTGAGTTGGGCTGAGATAGAGTGACTGATCCGAAGTCATTCTTTCATGCCTGGGGACCAGAACCTTTCTAGTCCAGCATTTAGTGCTACCCCCAAACTGGCTCTCAAAATTAAAAAAAAATATGATATAGTTATGTTAAACCCATTTTCTCCTAAGGCTGTTCTGAATTATCGTTCTGTCTTCCAGAGTATTAGTTATCCCAATGAATTTTCTGTTTCCTGTAAAACTGATGATCCTTCTTTCTACTTCATCCAGTTGTTAATAAAAGTACTGAACAGTAGCAAGCTCAGGATTGAATCTTGGGGCACACTACTTGACACTTCTTTCCTTTCTTGGTGAGCACACCACATAATTCTCAGGCAATCCAGCCCACAATGAACTAGAGTGCTAACAGAATGTTGTGGGATCGCTGAATGTTTCGCTGAAATCAAGATACACCATATCAACAACATTCTCACTAGAATCGGTTGGAGATGGAGATGGATGGGATAAATTGAAGAAACTGCATTAAAATAATTTATTAAAGACACAAAAATATGAGAAAAGTATCATGATGAAAATATGAGAAAATTTGGTCTGGAAAGACTTCTTACTGACAAATACATGCTGAATTCTGCTAATTACTGTACTGTTTTCAGGATGATCTTTTTATAATCTGCTCTAGAATATTCCCAGGTATCAATGTCAGACTGACTGGCGTGGACTCTTCTTTTTACCCTTCTTTGAAGACAGGACTGCCAGCTTAAAGACTCATATCTTCTACCAGGAATTTGTCAAATATAATTTATTTTAATTATAAGACTGATCTATATGCTGCTGTTGCAATGTTTTCATATTACAAACTTTGTACCTTTATTCTTAGGTTTAATTTTTAATGTTCTAAGTATGTCGCCTTGAAGCTTACTTTAATTGAAAAGACACTTCTGTATTTTGTGGATTAAAAAATGAATGCTTTGCTGATGATCAATAAATAAAAACGATGTAAAAAATAAAAGCATATAGTTCTCCTGCAGGATTATCCCTATCAATTTGTATTAGGGGCCAAAAGGAAAACAGTACAGTAATTCCAAAGTTATTGCAACATGAGCTTCTATACAAAACTATATTTTCTAGCAGGAATCTGTTAAATGTAGTTTCTTTTAATTATAAGACTGAGAAAGCAAATTAGAATAAGCTGTTATTCATGCACAAGAACAATATTAGCAGCCGACATACATTATCAGGAAAGAGATGTAGCCTTTCCATCATAGTTCTTCTGTGAAGGTTCTTTGGGAGCATTCCATAGATAGCCAGTTTTACAATCTGGAAAATAAGTACATATTTTATATACAATACAGTTTGACTCAAAATCTCAGAAATACTGAGGCAATGTTCACAGAGTTAGGTAAGAGAATTACTAACAAATGCAATAAACACAAGCGCTACTAAAAAGGGGTGATCTCCTTGTTTTGCTTGCAAGTGCAAGCATGAAGAGTGTCTTACACAAAAGTTGCTTTATGTTGAATCAGATTAATGACCCCCTTTAGCTCAGTATTGTCTACACATCAACTTTCCCTGATATTGGTAAGCTCCAGATGAACTGAGTTCAACTCTCAGAATTCTCCAACCATCATGGCCAATGCAAAGAATTTGGGGAACTGAAATCCACACATCTGGAGGACTCCACGGTTGGAGAAAGCTAGTAGAGAAAATATTGGTCTAAATGGGGAAAACCAGACAGTACTGACTAAAAAACAGTTCTCCAGGAACTCAATTTATAGTATTCCTGAAAATGATTTACTGAATTTATGTTCTAGATAAGCAGGCCCATCTGTAGAATCAGGTGAGGTAAACACTATCTATGGTCTATATATTTATGTCTATGAAGATTTAATCCACTGTTAAAAATATTTACTCACTATGCCCAAAGTTACTCTTTTAGATAGGGGAAATCACAAAATCAAAGTTGCTATTTTACCCTAATGAATGTTATTACATAAAAGGAACAAAGAAGAGGAACAGGAAGAAGAAAGTATTTTAAGCAAAGTGAATTCTATATGGAACAATCCTTTTGGACTGTATGTTTATCATTAGAATTTCAGAGTTAGTTCATCTCAGTTCCAAAATATATAAAGGGTTCCAGGGTTGGGCTTGGGATAGGCTTTTTATATGTTCAAAATATGAATATATCTTATTTCAGATCATGATGTTTTTGGAAGGAAGAAAAACTGTAATAAATAGTTGAAATGATTTAAATCACCATGGATTCATTAGCCCTTGCAAGTATCTATTGATATGTACTTTAATTTCCTGTAACTATTTAACATAAGAAAGAATGTGAAGAACTTTCCTTGCAGAAAAACTTTGTATGGAATTCTGGGGTACCGTCAACTAAAATGATGAAAAAATTGTCAGAAAGAAAAATTTAAAAAGTTGAGGGAGAAGCAAAAGGGAGGCACAACTAAATGACAATTAAAAAAAAAATCAAAGTAGGTCCCTTCAAAAATCACACTCAATTTGAATGTATATTTCCTGACTTTAAATGCCTCTTTGTACTAACACATAGACCACAAACATAAAGATGCCACAAAGTAGATACCATTTGTTCTTTCTAGCCATCTCTATTCTAGCTGCAGCTATTAGTTTCTCAAAGGAGGAAAATATTGGCTCCGGAAGGAGTTATTCTCTGGGGCTGCTTAAAATGAATTGCAGACATAAAAACAGTGCACTGCATTGCTCCTTACAATATCCATAAAACTGGCTACTTAAAAACAAAACTCCTATATAACTGTATTATTTTTATACTTTCTAAAGAAACGAGTATGGCATATCCAATTTATTTATCCAAAAGAACAGCAAGATGTGTTATATTTTAACAAGCTAGGGAAAGCGTGCTGAGCATGACATCTGGAATTCTTTTTTCCACTGCAGGGGTTGGCAGGCCCATTTTCAAACTTGATCTTTATTTTGCCAGTTTCTCCCCCAAACCAAGTTTAGTCCTGTTCTGTTCAGTCCACAGAGTTATCCTGATGGACAGACAATGTCCCAACTTCCTTTACAAAATGACTTTCCAACGTTTCAGTGGCTTGGAAAGAGCCAAACAATTTCACCCAACCACTCCATTCCAACACATTGAAACCTTTATGGAATGAATGGAAATGCTTCAGTGCTTAACCTTTGGTAACTGGATGAAGAAGTCATGCAGAAAAACACATAAGTAGTCACCAATCAACACAAGAAAAGAGGGTACTAAAATTAAAAGCTTTTATCATTGTCGTCATCATCACCACTATCATCTTCAGGCAAGACTTTAGAACCCAACTCTAAACCACAAAGTGAACAGAAAAACTGTAAGAATACCAAGCAGCATGAAACACATCAGAGTAAACCAAAGGCAGGGACAGAAAGCAGCGAGCTGAAAGCAGACAACAGAGGAATGTCACACAATTTCAATTATCTTCCGGTCTTTACTACTGATGCTTTGTGCAAACAAACATTTGCACAGCGTTCTACAAGCAGCAGATTTCAGGACAGTCTTTGCCAGCCCCATGCTCTCTAAAAATGTTTTTCTTGTCTTTTTAATGCTACAGACTTTAAGCAAATTACTTAAAAGTTCTGTGGAGTCCTTGGTGCTGAGCTTGGTGGTCTGCCTGCAGACGTTTCATTACTGATCATATTACCTACAGTAGT